GTTAAAAGGCTCAATTACATACATAGTACAAGTTTATCTCTAATGACAAGCAAATTATATATAACATCCGCAAGACTGGGAGATTTTTTTGCATACACCAACAATCCAAAATTGGTCATCCAAGACAGTTGTTACAACCCAACCAATTTCCTCAAATATCTAGCAAGGCACCATAAATGAAAATTTTTGCCTATGCAGCAACTATTTCGGGTCAAAAATAGTATCAGCATACCAATACTGAAAGCCTTCATCTGACTGGAGAAACATGTGGCACCATTTCTCACTATTTTCAAACTCTTTCATGTACGCAAGCCGATTCCAGGACCACAGTTCAACGGACTCATGTTTTGGGTAGCATTTGTCCCAAACCTTTAGCGCCGCTACACATCACTCATTTCATCTAGTGTTTTCCTCAATTTCGATCTATGACAACTTGCTAATGTTCTAATGTTGGTTGCTATGTCTTGTAGAGCTTCCCCGGTCTTTTGAGATTTATTACTCCTTGAACCATCGTAGGATGATGTCCCCAAACTCGATGCCGGACGTTTACCTGGCCTGCTAGCAACGAATTCGACACATTCATCCCAAAAATTAGTCATCCAAGACACAGTTGTCACAATCCAGCCAATTTAATCAAATATCTAGCAAGGCATTATAAATGAAAATTTTTGCCTATGCAGCAACTATTTCGAATCAAGAATAGTATCAACGTACTAATACTGGAAGCCTTCATCCAACTGGAGAAACATGTGGCACCACCTCTCACTATTTTCAAACTCTTTCATGTACGCAAGCTGTTTCCGGGACCACAGTTCAACGGGCTCATGTTTTGGGTAGCATTTGTCCCAAACCTTTAGCGCCTCTATACACCACTCATTTTGTCTAGTGTTTTCCTCAATTTTGATCTGTGACAACTTGCCAATGTTGGTTTCTGGGTCTCGTAGAGCTTCCCCGATCTTCTGAGACTTAGTGCTCCTTGAACCATCATAGGATGATATCCCCCGACTCGATACTGGATGTTTACTTGGCCTACTAGCAACGAATTCGACTTTTTCATCCCGAACTGGAGTATAAACATCCTCCCTCCAAAAGTCTAAGGTAGGTCCGTCTACCTTTGCCTTCCCCTTACGTCTTGATGCAATAGCTGTGGTCTTTTTGATAGACGACGGTGAGTGGTGGACATCACTCTGAGCAGATGATTGGGCATGCTTTCCTGTGGCTGATCGGCCCTCAAGAATGTCAATCAATTCATAGAAGCAACCGCAACTCTGGCCTTCTTTGAACCTTGCATAAAATTTATTTTCCTGCAATCCATGTGAAATGCCAGCTACTTCAATTGGACAAGCAGATACGGTTTATAGAACAAGCATTCTTGATATGTACTTACAAGCTGTTACTTCAAATAATAAATTACACATAGAATACTTTACCCCAAAGCAATATTGATATCGCAGCAGTAATGAAAGATATGTAGGCTAGCAATCAACCATGACCAGACCACCTTAAGTTATAATATTATTGTACCAACCTATTTGATAGATAATAATTTCAGTCACTCTCACAGTTACATTTAAATTGTAGCAGCAATCAAAGATTGATAAGGCAGCCTCCAAACATAAACAGGACACCTTAAAGTACACATCTATGATACCAACCCAGCGCAGCAGTAATGAAACACATAAAACGGCCATCAACTATTAAATAAGTCATAATTTCAGCGACCCTCAAGCAGTGACAAGGCTCAATATTTGGTTGCCTAGCACCAATTTAACAGGGCAACATATCCAGCAAAGCTTAAGAGCAATTTGGAATACAATTAATAGAGACATAGAAGAAGTTTACCCACTTTAGAGCGCTCCATTTTTTCTTCGTAGCCTAAAAGCACAGAAACTCCGAATTAAACCCAACTCCTATCTTTGCCGTTGACTAGGACATCCCCGATAAGCAAATGAAACACTTCCACTCGGCTTCTAGCTTATAGAATTTTGAACGATATTAGTCCCACCTCAAATTGACATGGCACTTGTCGTTCATGTGTAGACTCAGATGGTGCCAGTTTAAACTGTTCTTTTGGTGCTTGTCCCAAGCACCATTCCTGTGCCACTTTACAAGTGTCGCAACGAAAGATGCCTCAAGCGTAGGGTGATTTTTCTAATCGGCCACTTTAGAATCATCATTCATCTAATGCAATAAACATATATAATCCATAGTAAAGCACAGGCAGATTGTACAAGGAAACACAAAATTGAAAGTGGGTGCTGGTACTTCAAAGTAGGAACCATTTGCATACCTTTACGAAGTAGTTTCTCGCACAAGCACCCAAATCGTTTGAACTGCTCTCGGAATGTACTTGCTGGATTGCATGAAAGTGAAATATAAAAAATAGAACTGTAGTTAGGGGTTTAATAAGTAAAGAGAAATAGCCATTCAAATGTGTCAGCAATCCCAAATGCAAAATTTTTTGGTCAAAAGATTTTGAGATCATTAACGAATTGATAATAATTGAAAATAGTAGCAATCGAACCAGAATTTTATGTGGATGAGGGTCTTACCGCTGCTCATACGTACTCGACGGCGCTTATGTGGCATATAAATATGGATACGACGAAGAATGGAGGACCTAACAGTACCACACCGACTGGCTGCTTAAAAAAAAAAAAAAAACAGGGCAGCAATAATAAGCAAAATTTTATTGAGAAATGGCTCATAGTAAAACCTTTATCCTACCTGCAAACCTATTTCCCTTGCCTTTAATTGGACAGAGACAGCATTGGCAACATCGGGGACTGCATGTGCAAGTGAATTTCAGGCAACTTAGGATCCAAAATGCACCTATGCGGACACATATGCAACTTTTACATCCTGTATAATGAAGGCTTTTCTTCCTATATCTATACATATAATTTGAGTAAAGAAGCCTTCATCTCGATGAAAACACAATTGCTGATTTATTGTAAAAGGATAACTAGCTGATTTTGCAGTCTAACCAAATTTGGTAATAGGAAAAATAAAATGGATATGGAAACAATACCAAATAGAGTGTAATTCTCCATTCGTGCAAGTAAAGCAGCCACTCAACATTCCCCCCTTCAACCGTAAGTTCTTTCATCCACCCTTTTTGGTTCCTCGTCTAACACCCCATTCCCCTGAACTCACTGTCGAAAGAAGGCCTATTTTGTCTCTTTCTCTCCAAACAGCCATACACAATATCGATTGTAACCGTAACAACCAAGACCAATAAACATCATTAGTATATCAGAAGCCATAGACGACAAAGTGTATACCATAAAGACACTCACATACGTCGTAAAGAAGCATTCATTCATCTCCAGAATGTTCAAATTGGTTCATGGAGTAAATTGGTCTAATGGTCTAGGCAAAACATCTAAAAGTCTCTTTCAATTTTTCTTCGGGCTCAACAATATTGGTTCGCAACAACAGACTTGGGCAACGCATTCAAAGTGGTGCATTTTATTTTTTCAAAATTAAATAATTTTTCATAAATAAAAATGAGCTAAGAACTAGCTTGTGAAGGAAATTGATGTTACAAATACTGCTGTTAATTGATACGAAACAATTTGCATATGTTTCAAGGAGGAAAATTTTGCTCCGACAAGTTACCGAATACCGAACCCTAATTGATGACAAAAAAAGGACTCGAGCACTATACAATGCATTCGCTTCTTAACATAAAGCCAAACTGGAATGGATCAGCACAAAATTGAAAGAAAAAATCCCATGCTTGGTTGGCAGACTGGGGAAGCGTACCTTGAGGCGAAAAATTTGGAAGGCACACACACAACTAAATAAGAGTTAGGCGATGAAAGTCGGCGCCAGAAAAACCGTTGAGCGATGCTGAAACTTAATCGAAGCCAAAGTTGAAGGATACTTTAGATCCGTTCTTCTTGTAAGTGCAAGAATTTTTCACAACTTGCTGGTTACTTCCTTGGCAGAACAATTACAAAACCCACGTTTGGGATAGTGCTATGTCAGTGAGAGGTTGGTGGTGATGAAGAGAGGGAGTAAAGAAGAAAACAGAGAAAGACTAGACTTATTTGTCGGTTTCTCCCTGACGCAATACAATGGTTTGAAAAATGTATTGGTGTTTTACTGTTTTGGGATTGAAAAGTTGGGATGAATTATTTGGTCAAGAAAAGTCAATCATCATTTTGATTTTACTGTTCCAAAATATAAAAAACGAAATATTATCAGTCCAAGCACAACCTTAGTTTTCCAAGTTTTGGCCAACGCACTGGTTTGATTGTCAAGTTAACTTGCTTCTTGTCGATAGAGTGTTGCTTGCAGGGGTTAAAAATTGTGGGAGGTCAGAGAGGTTTTTGGTCAATGGCCACGGAAGAATTGTGAGCAAATAAGGGCGCAAGACACTCCGCCTTTTCTTTACTCCTCTGGATAATAATGAATCGATTTTAAAACTTAAACAATGACTGGCCCACAGCCATTGATTGAATCCTTTTTTTTTTTTTTTGTCGTAATGGCACATCTAGTCTAATTTAATCTACTCCTACTCCTATCCGGGAGAACCTACTCTATGGGATGGGCCAACTGAGTTGGGGGAATCTGACGAAAACTGAACCACTATCAGACCAGACGGGTGTACCACATACTCGTATGGATTTAAAACAAACCTCATATTAAGGCATATTAATGGGAGACAAGATTTGAACTCTTGACCTTCCATCTCACAATTAACTTACAAATTTAGGATGTGAAAAATTCACCAATTTGTTCACATGAACCCTTACTCCAATAAAATTGATACGGCAGAGTTGGTGGGTACTTTAAAAGCCCATAGTTGTTAAAATCAAATGTTTGGTTTTGGCATGTCCAAACAAAGTTTTGAAAACTTTATTTTCAGAGCTAAATTAGGCAAACCAAATATCCATTCCAAACAAATTCACTTTTTCTTCTAATCCACAAAAGCGTGCTTCTCAACAAGGGTTCGATTCTCGCCTTCAAGAAACTAAGCCTCCTACCATCACGTCTTCTCCCCATCTTTGCCTTGCTCTGAGCTTCCATTTTTACCGGTTCACCATGACAAATCGATTACACGAAGAGGAGGATGAAGACCCGGTGAGATAGTCCTTTAATCTCCCACCACCTCCGCACACTCTTATCTCTGGTCTTAACCCTCCTCCTGCAGACCCCTCCGACTCCATTTCTTCCCTGATAACTCCCCGCCGTCGTGTATCAACCTATTTTCCCACTTCCTATCTTCCCCCGGAATGCAGTCCGTAAGTCCTTTAATCTCATTTCCTAAATTTAAATTTAAATGCAGTAATTTTAGATTTAATTTTATCATTTTATGTAGATGAGAAATTGCTGTGGAATTTTTAAATTTTCCATTTATTTATATAATTTTGAAATCAAAATTAGGTGTTGATAGCAGCAGAGGAATCGCATGTTCTCCTCGGAATATTAAACAATAGCTTCCAAACCCTAGACTCGGTAAAAGACAGCATTTCTCACATTTTTGCTATTTTTTTCTGCTCCATATCCTTTGACATTGACGTAATTGATGCAAGGTAATATCAAACTAACATGGATTTTAGTTGTATATTTGCCTTTTTTGTGTTCATGTGAAGTTCTGTTGAATAAGGAATTTTAATATGTGGTATAGGTACAGAGGGTTGGATGAGGTAAAAACAAATTGTAATCAAAATCAATGTGAGTTAAGTGAAAAGGAGCCTTCTGATGGTAATAAAGGGCAGTGTTCCAGTGCGGTTTTTAACGTTTTAGATACAATGTTAAAGGACAGTTTAGATCGCTTGAAAACAATGTGGTCAGTGGTTTTTTATTTTCTGAAGTCGGGAACTTCTTGTCATGTTGAATTCAGATTTTCAGTTCTTTTATATTGTTTTGTAAATATTTAATGGGTACTGCTTGCTGATTTGGCTGTTCTTTCAGTATGTTTTTTATGATATTTAATATGGAGGTGAATGCATTGTATAGAGGATATCTTAGCTGTGTTAATGGTGCCATATAATGTAGCTAAAGTGTGTAGAAGGATTTTCCAGGGAGCGGTAGAGAGAGTTATACATACATGTTTCGCTTGGAGAACAGAGGAGTACTTGCAAACATAAGAAGTTACAGAAGAAAACTTCGTGTTTTTTCTTCCAAAAATTTCAGATTTTAAATTAGCTTTTTGGATACCAGTTAATGGTAGTTGCTCATTTGCCTTAATGTCTATCTGATACTGATTGTTGTTACCAACAGCTTGTATTAAGTTGCTTGTGTCTTCTCCACATACATCTTCATTTATGTTCTTTGAATATTCTTAGGAAAATCAGTCAAAATGAAGTACCTTCCTTACAGGATAGAAGATAATCAATACTTCGTTTCTTACAGGATAGAAGATAGACAAAGCATTAATGTGTATGGTATCTCTATTACTCTGATTTCTAGCTTCTGGTGTTTAACAATTTAGCAACTTTAATAGATTGTCAACCATGCTTCTATTTCTTTTTAGGCAATTATAAAATGTTGTTGCTGTGATGTTTAGTAAGAGGTAACTGGGATCCTGTTCTCTCTCTTCCGCTGTCTGTATCAGTTTACTTTAGCTGTTGTAATTATCTGCTACTTTAGGCAAATGTCCCCTTGAATACTTTACTAGTGACCTTTGAAATATAGTTTCTGAAGTGGCAGTGGTTGCCCTTTTTTAGTTTTTAATGTTTCCTCTCTTGGTAGCTTTTGTTGTTCTTTCAAAGGTGATTCTAAATTGTACTTTTGTTTTGCCAAATTGTATCAGGTTCCCTGTTTCAGTTTATGGAAGTGAATTATGCAATACTTGTTTGGAGTAATATTGAGCTTATAGTTTCTGTGTGTATGCCTTCTGTAACTGATGTTCCATAAGTTCCGCGGGCAAAGCATATCATGGGATGCTATAGGCAGTGAATGCTGTGACTTTGAAGTGAAATATAATCGAGATATAACTATAATTAGAGCTTTATGCTTGGAGGGTAATTTGGGGGTAGCTCTATCTCTTTGGTATACGATGATACAGAAAAGTGTTATTCCTGATATTATCACCCACAATTATCTAATAAACAGCTTCTGCAAAACTGGTAACTTGGATAAGGCAGAGTGGCTTATCAAAGAGGTTATTTAGGGGTCCTCCTCCCAATTGTGCAACTTACAACACTTTAATAAAGGGTTATTGTATTCAGAATGGTATTGAAAGGGCTTTAAATCTGTTTTCAACAATGGCCAACAGTGGTATTATCCCAAACAGAGTTACTTGTACATTACTGTACATGCTCTTTGTAAGAAAGGTCTGCTGGAGGATTCAAGAAAGCTTCTTATGGAAATATTAGGTGACACTCACCGTAAGGACACATCGAATTTGATAACATCGACTATATTAATGGGTGGGTCCTTTAACAATGGACATATAAATCAGGCTCTCACTTATTTGGATGGCATTTTTTGCAGGAGTCTCCCAGTTGATGCTGTTGCCTACAATGTTGTCATTCATGGATTCTGTTTGATCAGAGATATATCCATTGCTTATAAATATGTCTGCAAAATGTTTACGTGTGGTTTTCTTCCTGATATATTTTCTTCCAATACTCTTATTGGTGCTTTCTGTAAGGAAGGATGGACCACTGAGGCTTGTTATATCTACAATATTATGTCCAAAATGGGTGTTTGTCCTGATCAAATCTCTTACAAGATGATTATACAAGGGCTATGTTTTCATGACGATGCAACAAAAGCTAATCTGTTTCTTCATGCTATGTTAGATAACTCATTTTGCCTGAACCTCTCATTTGGAATGTCATAATTGATGGTTATGGGAGGTGTGGTAATATGCAAAAGGCATTATACATCAGGAATCAAATGATTGCCTTTGGATTAATGCCAAACACATTTACTTATAATGCCTTGATCCATGCACAGATAAAAAGTGGAAATATCATTGAGGCACTTTCTTTGAAGAAGGAGATGCTTCTAGATGGTTATTTTCCAGGCTTAATTACGTACATTCTCTTGTTGGGTGCCTCTTGCATTCTTGGTAACATTCATTCAGTGCTGCAGCTATATGATGAAATAATAAGAGGAGGTTATTACCCAGACACAATAACATACACTGAGCCAATTAAGTTTTGCTGTACACAAGGTTATACAGAGAAGGCAGAAGAACTCTTGGAAAAGTTACAGGCTTTGGATTTACAGGTTTTGGATTTACAGGTTGACCATGTTCCATATCTGATACTCATGAAAAAGTATTGCAAGATGATGGAGCTAGACAAAGCATTTGAACTTTATCAGAAGTGGTTATTCAGAAAGAGTTGAGAATACCTTTAGTATTGATCAATTGGTACTCTGGGCTGCAAAAATTTTTCTGATCAATACAGCTCCCTGCTGGCAGTACACTTCATGCATTACATTAATTCATTATCTGTTCAAAGGAAGGATGGTTGACATCTTCTGCAAGTTGATGATCTCCACTTGAAGGTTTGTACTTTGTGACCTCTCCTTATATTTCTGATATTTAAGATACCTCCTCTTCCATAATCTTTCATTGTAGTGCATTTGCACTTGATTTTCTCATAAAATTTGATAAGTTTTTAGTTGTATTGTTGACTGAGTATAAATTATTATTGGTTTCTTTTGGACTCATAAAATAACTTTGATTGCAGCTTCTGAATTTCAAGTTCCTTGACTCATATGCTTGCTTCTTATAGAAGTTGAAAGTTACTATAAACTGATTTTCTGTTATTTCATCTTCCAATAAAATATAGTAACTGATTTTCTGTTATTTCATCTTCCAATAAAATATACATAAAATAAAAAATTAAATCATAGGCCCCTTCGGTTTTCTAAATGAGGTCAAAATGCCATCGCTAACATATTTTTGTGTGGAATTCTGTTTGAATTCCAAATTTCCAAAGTTATAACTTCAATATTTAGTGCTTCAAAGGTGTGGCACTATGACAAAATTTGTTAATCGAAATAACATTTGCTGTTTCAAATAGTTGAAGTTTGTTTTTGACATGAAGAAATAGTTTTTTCCATGAACACAAGTGAAAAATAAACCAAAACAGAAGAAATTTCTTTCAACTGAAAAAGAAATTCATTCAAGTACAGATAATGTCTTTGATGAGTATAATGGCACTTAGTGGAATTAGAAAATTGGTTGCCAACTTGGAGTTACTGATGCAAAATCTTTCTGATGTGGAAGATCATTATTGGTTTAGTCCATCAGTTTCAATGCACAACAGAAATATGGATATTTGTTGAATAGAATTTACCATGAGTATGATTGAGTTATTCTTTTGAAGTCAGCCAACAGAGCTATTTGTGAATTTTGTCTTTAAATGGGTTAAGGCTGGAATTTAATGGAATTAGAAATCAGTTGCTGACTTAGAGTTATTGGTGTAAAATCTTTCTGATGCCGAAGATCATTGTTGGCTTAGTTCATAAGTTGCCATTTGGAATATATATTATCAATGTTATTGAACAATATACATTATTGATAGAAGGCATTTACTCATTTTAAATCAAAGAATCAGATCCTATCAACTGGTAATGTTTTAGGTACTAATAGGAGATAGGGTTAGACATACCTAGACTACTTTGGTCCTTGAATTGTCAGAATGTAATTGTGGACTTTTTAGTTGCCTTCAGGCATTGTATGAAGCTAATCGGAGAGACTAGCAGTTCTGTATTGCACCTTTGTGTGATTTCTCCATGTGGTCCAGTAGTGTTTAATCTGGATTTTCTTGACCACTTTTCTATTTGTATTGGTGAAGTTGGAGGTGTAGGATTCTGAAGATTTTGTTTTTGATGTAAATAATGATATATTGTGATAATTTCTTGCAAAATATTGCACAAGAAAGTAATTGATTTAGTAAAGAATGCATTTTTTGCAGTTTTTCTTGTCATGAATTTGAAGTCAGATACTTCATTTACATAAATTGAATATTTTTTAATAATTTCCACCATTGCAGATAGAGGTTCAATTATAAACCAGTAATAAATGGGCTGAATGACAAAATGGATGGGAAAGTTATAGTGCGAGAACTAATATTTAATCATTAAAGGCTTTTACTATCCATCCATTTTGCTTCTTTTTTCTTCCTTGCTCCCCTTCATATTTAGCTACCTTAGCAGATGAAATATCTCCTATCCCCCTCCTATCTTTTTGTTACGGCTTATTTGGTGTAACTTCCTCTTGTAAATTAATGTTATTCCACAAAACCATTTCTAAATTAGTTTTCAAATTATCCACATCCTCTTTATTCTCCCCATAACCTCCAATAGAACAAACTCCTTCGAGGAAGGAAAAGAATTTCCTGTCAAAAAAAAAATGAACATTTCACATCTATTTTATTGATTAAGGGTTCACACAGAGTTTGTCAGTACCATAGTTGGAATTTAGTACCCAGTTTCTTTTGATGCATCTGTCAGTCCATTGACTTGCGTTACATATATAGCTTTTTGAACATATTCTAGATAGCTAGACATTTTTGTTCATGGATCCAAATATGCACACTCTTCAAAGACAATTAGTCTTCCAGTTTTTCTTTGGGCGTCTGAGTTGCTAATTAAAGATGAACTAGAGCTGAAACCTGTAATTAACTCATTTTCATCTGAGAATAAGTGAAATTTGTACGGGATGGTGGATGAGATTAAAGCAAAGAAATGTAGAAGCAATCACATGTCAATTAGTAAAGAAAAATGAGATATGGTTTTCATTGATCAGGTGTTTTGATACCAATTATATGCTTATCCTTCCTAAGGATTTTGATTGATTAATCAAAAGTTGATGGATTGAATTAGCTGAACTGCACCGATTCAAAACAAAGTGGATTCTCAGACAATGATAAGTCGTAAAGAACCAATGGTTAACCAGGTTATGTATACTATTTGTATCACATCTACTAGATTTACTTTATCTTTTGTTCATGGATGATTAACAAGACAGCAATAACATTGTTGGTAATCGTGCTAGCCACCATGTGATTGTGGGTTAAAAGTGAAGCCATCCTTTGTGTAATTTTCTCGTTTGCTTGTGTACCCATTACATTTGTGCTAACCAACCTTGTAAACCACTGGTGAATGGATATTGAAAACTTATTTATGAGATCTTCCATATGATTGAGCTGCTCAGGTTCTTTATATTCTATTTTCTGCAGATATGCCCCCCCTCCCCCCCCCCAAAAAAAGCCCTTTAGAAGTTGTGTATAAATTAGCTGGTGCCTGTGGTATATGGTTGGATGCCCTTTTCATGGAGTTACTTTGGTTATTTATCATGATTTCCTCATAGTTCTTGCTCGGTCTTAAGATGTCATTGACTCTGGCACAGTGTCCTAGTCATTGAAAATTTGCTGAATTTGGCTTCATAGCTACAGCTTTGTAGTTTTTGGTGGCTGTGTTGGATGGCAATTTCCCACTAGTGGGACATTGATATTGTAACTAGATTTAATTCCCTAAGAAGTATTGTCATATTACTATCATGTCATCATCATCTTGAGGCACTTGTCATTTGTTCTTGGGAAGTTGTTGTATCTGTCTTTGGCACCTAGACAGCCTGTGGCTCTCTCGCTCAATGATGCAGGAAAAATTTTAAATGTGGCAATAGGAAATAATCCTCACACGAGATAATTCTTTGGTCCTTTTAGGTTAAGTTTCCATTTTCCCTTATATTTCAGTTGTTCCTTGAGGGTGTTATTATTATTTTTTTTTTCACATTTTCATATCTATTTAGCTTTAGTTGCCTTTAGCATGCTTAATTATCTCTCTGTACTCTTTAGTGCTAATGTTGTTTTCCCGGGCAGCTATATTGTTAACAGCAGGCAGAGTGCAGTTAGATAGTGAATCAGTAAACTCAGATAATTTCTGTTGATATTTTGAGTCTCTATACAAGCAGTTTCATGCTTGCATCTGTTATAGCTTCTTACATTTTATCATGGAAAAAATCGTTGCTTAATTGTGGAATGGCTGTATTTTCATACTCAGGCAGCCTGACTTTCACCTTTAGACTATAGTCCCTGGGAGAAGCTGACCAGGAAACACATGCCACGTTTGATTAAAGGAGACTATTGATGGCCTTAGGTGTTGTTCTGTCAACCATCTTTTTAGAATTTTATGGTAGACTGTCTTTTCACTATTAATAGCAATCTTCCCCTTTTCTTTCTCTTTTGGAGCTATTATCTCAATTTGTATGTCTTTGCTGACGTTTGTAGGAACGTACAGAGATTTCATTATACAGATTCAAACTTTGCCAGTTGTCCTCGAGCTCAAGGAGGTAATCCATCCAGGGCTGTGAATCTCCTTTTCAGCAACACCAGCTTTACGGTTGTATATATATCTCTTGGTTTCACTGGAATGTATAATTACCTGAGTTTACGTTCTTCTGTCTCTGTGTTTTATTACTCAATAAGGAAATGTCATGGAGCCATTTATGTTGTGCATGAATATGCAAGGTGGTGCACCACATTGATCTTTTTAGTTTATCAAGAATAAACTTAATTGTACTAATTATGGGTAGGAAGGAAAACTTTTATAAAGCAATTTTTCTTTGTTAGTGGTTTATACCGTCCACTTACCAGGAGAGATCATTTTGGAAGTTGCATTAAGATTTAAGTTTTCATGGCTTACCTGGGGCATCACTAGGATTTTGATCCATGTAAAGATGTAGGATTAGTTTGCATACATTTATGTTATAATCCACTGTTGCAATCATCAAAATGCCAAGGGTTTGGAGTTGCACTCAGACGTAGCTCAACAAAAATGTATGGATTGTTCTAACATCAATTGTTTCAAGTCTGATCTACTAAGATCTGAAACTTATTGGTTGCAGTTAATGAATTTCATTCCATTTGGTCAAGAATATAATAGGGACGGTGACTGTCAGGCACTCATCCTTTCAGGCTCATGGAAGCCTGAACTTAGTCGGACGCTTGTCTACCTAAGCCCCTCCTGAATCCCATTGTGTGTATAATCACCACCAAATTAGCTCAGCTTAGTGGCTACGTCTAGCAACCTGCCAATTTTCCTGCTCAAGCAAAGTGTCTAGCAAACCTGCTGATTTTCATTATGCTAATGCACAATTTTTACAGTCTTATTGTTAGAATAAGAATGGTTGGTTTTGGTTGAAATGTGACATACTATATCATTTGGGAGACATAAGGACATAAACAAAAACAATGAATTCAACTTTGCAACTAATACACTGGCAGAATTAGTTCCCTGTGCATGCTTATGCGATGCATCAGTAGAAGAAAAGTTCCTAACATTGTACTGAAGATTCTTTAGGAGTAGACAGCAACTATGGGGATTTTTTGTCTGTAATATATGCTGAACAAAAGAAAGTTGTTAAATTCTTGAAAGATGGCGAGTTGTTCTAGTTCATAAAAAGTTTGAGTTGTGATAGAATAATGGTATCTGCTGTTAAGTATCTAGTGCATGAAAAGCTGACTTGTAGCTGAAAAGGAAGGAATCAGATACTAGTAGTTTTATCGCCGAAGGCATCCTAAAGCCTGTTGTGTGCTGAAAATATGTTATTTCAATGGATCTAGTTGTGATGGGGATCATACTAGGACTTACACTTTCATCATAAATTCTTCCTTTCCTTTAATATACATGGTTGCTTGAGCTATTAGAGTGGTAGTTTGTGGTATTTGTTATCAGTCGGAGCTTGAGAATTTTATGCTTCTTTTTTCCCAATGTAATTTTAGATACTGCTACCTTCAAAATTTGAATGTTCTATCAGGCATGCTTCAAAGATCTCCTGTCTGATTACCTTACTCATGGTTTTACAGGAGGAAATCTCTTTTTGAGCATCTTTGTAATGTTGATTGCACAGATATTGTTCAGGTAACTTACCTTAACCAGGCACTTATCCCTCACCAGTACTATTGTTTTGCTGGTCATCGTATCTGCTGATTTGGATTTTGGAACATATCAGATTTTGGCTTAATTTTGCAGGTTTGGCCTAGTTCTTCCAATATGTCTGTGGCGTGCCTCATGAAACTCAGTTTTACCTGTCAAGAGCAGTGGACAATGGGTATCACTGATTGCTTGGCTGGTGGGGATGAGTTGGTTTTATGAATTGCATCTTATTGTATTCTACATGTTAGAGATCAATCACCGCAATTGCTTTTCACTGGGTCTGTACATCCATCATATTCGTGCTGCTTCTGCTACTGAAGCTGATGAGCATTCTTAACGTTTTTGGTGGTGATTCGTGGTTAGGATTTTACTGTGGCGGCATGTACAGAGGAACTGACCATTCCTTTTCTCATAAAAATTTAGTGCTCATTCAACTGCAGGTATTCTACATGTCATTATGGTCATCTAGTTCTTTAATTGGTCTCATTAGTTCTTGGTCAGTAATATTTGTTTTTTTGCATCTCTTGGAAAACGAATCACTTGGGATTTTGCAGTTGTTATTGCATGTTAACATGGTGTTATAAAATCTGTTGTATTATTTCAGACCTTTCTGCACACTCTGTTTGCATATGTTGTATAATCTCCATATTGCGATGCGTTGTTGTATATTTTCTGCCGTGCCTGATACTACTAGGTGTTTTGTTCAAGGTAGCTGAAGACCGCGGCAAAATCAGAAAATATGCCTAAGAAATTCCCTGCTTGCAAGATAAGGATACCAAGGTTCACATTTGATTCTTTGCCGTTGGTCATCGTCCTTTACATCATCCCAAATTTCATCTAATGAACCATTCGCAGAAAGCTTGATAGCGAACCTCCTCAACAAAATGTATTAGATGGAGATGTAAGGGCGGTATAAGATAAATTTGAGAATCTGTCATGAAGCTGTTGATAGATATTCGATTGCCGAAGTTCTCCGTTATTGTAGGTCAATTTTGTTGGTCGTGACTTACTGCCTTTTTATGTTAAATTTGGAGCGGGCACCTTGGGATATTGAGGATTATTGGTCTTGCCAACCATTTGGCTGGAAGTTAAGTGGGAGAAAATACTTTTGCTTAGATATGCATGGACAATTTCATTCATTGTGAACCCTCTATGCTTTCATTGATTTTCATTTTTCTATTTTGGACAATTTACCCCATAAAATTAGGAAAAGATTTCATACTACTGAAATTGGTCAAATTAAGTGTGGATGTGCAATGATATATGAATCAGCTTTTTTTTTTTTTTTTTTTTTTTTTGCGTATTCTTAATGATTGGTGTCAAATATTGAATTGAGAAGGAAGATTAGCTTGGTGTAATAGGAGGATGCCATTCATAATTTCATATGGTTTAATTGAGGTCTTTATTAATTGTAGTTTGACTGTCCATAATGAAAGGTTATATTGCATGGCGTTGATAATTGATACTTTAGAGAATAACTAAAGGTGCAAATTGAGCATTTTCGTGTTGCAATCTAGAAGTAGATGAATATATTTTGTCATAAAGGTTTTGAAACTGAAGAGAATAGATATACGAACGTGTAATAATGCACAAGTTAAGAGTACCACTTCAATTTATTGTCTTTAGCGAAATATCCTGAATTTTGTTGGATTGAGTACGAGGCATGAGCGTACTAATGATCTGGTTTGCTCACGAATGAGATTTTTACTTCGGCTTATCCCCCCAATTCTGGACTCAAAGGGGACAAGGTTTAGGACACTTGGATACGGCGGTGGTTTTGCTGCCAACCTTTTTGACAAGAAATCTCCACTTTTAAGTTCTCTCGGAAGCCTTTATGGTAGGAACGCTTTGACCGTGCCTATGGTAGGAAGGGCTGTAGAGATCGACACGTGTTAGAGTTGAATGGAGTCGAAACGGAGACGTTAAGTTGTGACAGAGCGCATGGAGAGAAAAGATGTATGCACTGTCTGCGGCTACAACCAAAAAATCACACGGACTTCTGTACGATGTTGTAGGTTGGGCCAGGAAGGATAATTGCGGGTTAGAACCAGAGGCATTTATGCATTTGCAAATGTACCCATAACCAATGAAAAAATGCTGCATATGCCTTCGACAAAAAATGTGCATAAAGAAGGTACCAAAATTTTAACAAATAATAAATGTAAATCTCACACGTGTGGGGAATAATAATTTGTAAGAAGGAAAAGTGGGGCAGAGTTAGTATAACAAAATTAGTATAGTTGGGAATTTTTTTTTCCTCTGCAGATTGTTCACAAATATAAGAGTCAACCGCTAAACAAAAATGTCATGCATATCTAATCTATAACTACATATAAATTAAATTTAGTTCATGTACAAAATGATCCTAAAATAATTAGCACACCACAATACCCTATTCTTTTAACAACAAAAAATACTTTTTGGCAAAAGTCTTCAATATACATGATATATGTATGAGAGGTATTTTACCATATTTTAATCTCTTGTTTTCCCATATTGTTATCTCATGTGTAATCATTGATGTTAATTTCGGGAAGAATATTTTTTTATAATAAAATTAGTTCGAATGTAATTAACAAGTTGAGATTTTTTTGGAAAAAATATTTGTGAAATATTTTGGAAGTTATATTTTATTTTCCCAAAAATAAAAGATTGCTATTTTGTTTACCAATTGTTGCCATTAACATTTCAGTTTGTAGACTAATTTTTATGAATGTAGAATTAGTTTAGTTAACAAAAATTGAAGTTGTGTTGGTTCGAGGATTGGCATGCTATTGTTGTTATTTTACATGTGAAAATATAACCTAAATAATGAAATAAATAATAGCTATTTAAAAAAAAAAAGGAATCAGGTGCTCAATTGATTGCATTCAAACTACGATTTCTGTTACTGCATAATTGCTAAATTATATTCGTATTCATAAGCAATCAATATGCATCATATATTGACCAGGAGTAAATTACTGATTACTTAACAAATCGTATCTAAACACATGATGTGATATACATTGCATTTGGTTACCGTAATACTCATACCATTTGCCTTTCTTTCCATCTATGTTATAAAACTGCAAAATTCCCTTGATTATATTAGTGAAAATGCATAAAATCTTTTTACAAAAGTAGAATCAATTTATTTACAAAATATTAATACTTTTAGGAGAAGCAATGCATTGTAGGAATGGTTTACTAGTTATTAAGTAAACATAACTACTACATTAAAAAGTTCCAAAAAAAGTTGAGTAATTATAATTTATTTACGAGTGCTTTCGAATGGAAGTATTAGGGGATTAATTTCTTTGATTCAATAATTTTTAGAGATTGTAATTATGAAAAGAAGAAAGAATTTTTTGAGATTCTAACTTATTATTAATATATGTAATAAATTTGATATTTGTGCAAGTTTTCATGTCTTTTATTTTCGGCAACGAAATTTGTGCAAATATGGTAAAACATCCCTCATATGCATGTCATGGATATTTGAGACTTTGAATAACAAAAAGTGTTGTTGTTAAAATAACATTGTATCATAGTGCGCTAATTATTTTTGGACCATTGTATACATGAACTGAATTTAATTTAAATTATACAAAAGATTTGTATGTGCAAGTGATTTTCATTTAATTGTTGGATCTTTTTTTATGAACAATCTGCCAAGGAAAAAAGTCCAGATCATACTGATTTTATTATATTAAGTATTATACCAATTTTGTCATTTTGTTATTGTTGTACTATTTCTTACATTGTTTGGGCTTTAACTCTTATTAATTCTTGTGTCAGATGTAAATTTATTAAAATTTTATCATCTTAGTATATTCGTAGGTGTTAAAATATAAAAATTGTGATATATAAATAAGTGATATTCTATACATAAGTATGAAGATTTTTGTTATTGGTATTCAAACCTTCAAATTTTTTAAAAATAAAAAATTATTAAAAACTTATAATGTGACAAAATGTTAATAATTTTTGTCCAAGGTTATGAACAAAGTGAAACTTCTTTTCATAGTATTTAAAAAAAATACAAAAAAATTTAATTAATATCTATAATCATTTATTATATAGATATATTAGAGTACTTACTAAGTAAGGTACTTGCAGCCTTAATGACTAATAAAACCTGTTATCATTATTTAAAATAAACTTCATAATATTAGTTTGACAACAGTTTTTTATGTAAAACTGTACATGTATTACAAAAATCTGTAAGTGTTAATCGTTAATAAAATTTACCATGTTACTGCTAAGATTTAGTATCAATGAATAAAAACTTAATGTTAGTTGAAGTAAACTTACTCTCCAAAATAGTGTGAATTTACCGAAACCGACTAACAACCATTAGTAATTAAATTTGGTTGCTAAAAATAGTTTTTGTGATCGGTCAAAAATTGTGGGGCATGAAATTTATTTTGATTGTTAACATGCAATGAAAAGGCGAACTACTAAGCGTAACAGGTGGTGTTAAACTAAGTCGGTCAACCCAAATTTGCAAGCTATTCAAACCAACAACGGCGGTCAAATGAAATATTGGCCTTGTTATTGACCATTGATATAGATATGGTTACAATTCTAATTTTGACACAATTTCTGTATATTGAGAGATAGAAGTTAAGTTAAGGGAATTATACTGTGTTTGGGTAGAATAAAATTGTTCGTAAGTTGTTTAAACTTATAATAACAATTACAAGTTTAATAAAACTTGTATTTGACTTGTCAACAGGTTAGAAAATTGTGGGAGTTATGATAAAAGTTTTGCAGTGAATAATAATAAAACAGGTAAATGTATTCTTCAAATAAAATAAACAAGAAAAAAATTGTTAAAAATTATACTGCAGGAGTGATTTAGTGAATAACAAATTTTGAAGAAAGGAGAGGCGAAAAAAGAAGCGCCACAACTAATTTGGAAAACAAAGGCCAAAATAAAGCTATTGGCCTCTGGGCTCTGTAACTTGTTTACTGTCAGTCTAACCCAAAACACGATTGAACTGGAAAAAAAAATTGCGTATCGCTTCACCGTCATTTGTTGTGAATCTCCAACAAAGTCAGCCGAGGTACAGTGACAGTCCGGTGTTGAAAATCAGTTGTCTTCTTCAACTGTGCAACAAAGGTTCGTTGGTTCTTTCTCGTATTTTTCGGAAATTTACTTTGTTATTAATTTTGTGAAAATGTGAATGTAAGCGGTGTGCAGAGAACGTGGTATTGGAAGTATGTCATATTCCCCTCTCTGTCGCGGGTTCTTCGGAGGGAAGGCAGCAGTGGAGAGTATCAATTCAGAAAGCGTATTGGTATGTCTTTATGTTGGGATTCCCTTTATGTTCGGATATGTTCTGTGTCAGATCTCATCATGAAAACGCAAGAACAACACTGTAAGGATGAACCTGTCTGTTCTGTAACCTACATTGATTGTCAGAGAGGGAATCTTTACCCCATTTTGATGGGATTATCATGTAATGACATTTTTCTGCAATAACATTGTGTATATCAGAAAATTGTTCGTTACCTATGATGGCATTGAATGATTACCTTTATTCCTTATTTTAGGTTTGTAAGCTCATTTGCCGTCATTCAGTCGTATGATTCAATCCCCTCTTCGTCGCGGGTTCTTTAGAGGGAAGGCAGCAGTGGAGAGTGTCAATTCAGAAAGCGTATTCGTAAGTTTTTATTATCTCATATATTGTGTGTTAGATCTCATCTTGCAAATGCAAGACCAAGACTGTAAGGATGAACCTTTGTTTTCTTTAACCTACATTGATTGTCAGTGAGGGAATTTTTGGGCCATTTTGAGGGGATTATCATGTAATGACATTTACCTTCAATAACATTGTGTGGATCAGATAATGTTCGTAACCTGTGATGGCACTAAATGATTACATGTATTGCTTATTTTAGGTTTGTAAACTCATTTTGCATCATTCATTCGTGGGGTTCAATTCTAATGTTTGGTGGAGAGAATTTAGAAAGGAACAAAGTTCATTATGCCTGCATAGCACAATTAGCAATAAAACATGGCTGCACTCCCTCACATGATGGCTATATTTATTGGTTTGTTAGTTGGCTAATGAGGTAGAATAAGCATATTCAACCGCCAAATGATTTGGCTATTAAATTCTTGTGATAATTGACATACCATGTACTTTGGGACGATTATCAGTTTGTATACTTTATCGAAACATAGCCGCTATTAATGAAGCTGAAATAGTAGTAGATTTCGTCATATGCTCTGTAGGCGAAGAAATAATAATGTTTACCTATTCACACAAAGATTCAGTTGCGTGACAGCCTCGGTTCTGTGGTTGACCTTGCTGGCTTCATCCAGAAGGATATAGTAGTAGTGAAGGCTGATATGTTTTTCCAGTACCAAAGATTGAAGAGTACTTGTAGTTTCGATGCTCGAAATTTGAAACTATGTTAGTTAAGAGCTGCTGCATAAGCGTGGCATTATAACTTGTTAAGACCATGTTCGGTATGAGCATAGGCAGCCGGACAACTGCTTTGACAGTTCGCCTTACGTGCCTAGGGGTGATTAGGTTTTGAATGTTGTAGGGAAAAGTGTCATGGAATGTTTCGGATAAATTTTGGAGAGAATTGTTACATGGTATACAGTATGTTTGAATGGTAGATAACGTCCAGGTTACGAATGCAAATGGTGGAAGGAGAACCATCGAGCAGCCGGTATATTGCCGGGCATGCCGAAGTTGAAGACAATGCTAATAGATTAAAAATTGAAAATTCAATAACGTATTACAGAACAGAAGGGATAACAGGGCAGGGGGCTGTAGGGGAGCATATTGGTGAAAATGTGGGAAATTAAAACACTGCATTTGAAGGTATTGATGATATAGATGTAGATAGCATGAAGTTTGAAAGTATTGAAGAGGCAGAATCATTCTATATGATGTACGCAAAAGCAATCGATTTTGGGGTGCGAAAAAGGTGAAAGAGAAAAGATAAGAAAGGGATTGTCCGAATCAGATCATGACTTTATAATAAGGAAGGCAAAAGACATAAAAAACACCTTAACAGAGGCGATCGAATAAGAGAACCAAAAGCAATAACAAGAGTGAACTGTGAAGCACGTTTGAAGATTCGATTAGATGAGGCGAAAGAAAAGTACGTTGTTGTAGAATTTGTTAGTACACATTGCCATCGTTTGTGCAACCCTGAAAGTGTGAGTTTCATGAGGTCTCATAGAAAGGTTGGGAAGTCGGACCTACAGCAGGTAGTAGTTATGCAACAAGCAGGCATAAGAACAAGTCACATTATGAGACTACTAGCTGTGCAGGTTAGAAGATACCACACCTTGGGATTCCATGTCACTGTTATGTACAATGCGCTAAATCGGCAGAGACAGCTAGCAGTTGGTCATGAGGACAACGATTCATCAATTGCATTCTTGTCAGGCAAGTAAGGAGGTGATCCCAATTTATTTTTCAAATATTCAGTAGATGGCTATGGCCGTCTCAATCGCCTGCTTTGGGCTGATTCAGTGTGTAGAGATGACTATGGATGTTTTGATGATGTGCTAGTGTTCGACAGCACGTATAATACGAACCAGTACAAATTTCCATTGGTTGTGCTGTGTGAGGTTAACAATTACTATTCCACATGTATCTTTGCCTGTGTTTTGATCGTTTGTGAAGGAGATGAGGGATATGATTATAAGTACATTCTTAAAAGCAATGCATGGGAGGAAACCGATAGCAGTTGTGACTGATGGGGACAAGTCAATGCGAAAGTGCATTAAAAATTTAATGCCAATAGCTAAGCATAGACTTTGCAGCTTCCATTTGGAAATGAATGCAGCCACAAATGTAAGGGAAAAAGAGTTCTTGGAGGCATTCAAGACCTGCATGTTTATGAATTGTATAGCAGAAAAGTTTGAAACGAGGTGGGCAGAGGTTGTGAGACGTTTTGGGCTTAAAGATAATGAATCGGTTAACAAGATGTACCGGAAAAGGGAGCTGTGGGCTATGGCTTTCCTCAGAGGCAACTTTTTGGCGAAATGCAGAGTACCCAATGGTGTGAAAAAATGCATTAAGTTTTAAAATTACATTTCACCTCGAAATTGAAGTTTTTGAGTGTCTTCAAACATATGACTTGGTCGTGGCCTGTTTGCGACATGAGGAGAGGCGTCAAAAGGATGTGACAGAGTACAGTGCCCTTGTGCCAGCGCCACATTTACATGCACTGGAAAAACATACTGGTGAAGTGTTTACGAGATCCACATTCGTTGTGGTACGGAAGGAAATGAAGAAGCAGGGGCTATTTTGTAGGATTAATGACACAGATGATGGAATCACCGCTGTCCACTTCATGAAATATTTGTACAATTACTCGTATCATACTGTGGCCTATAACAGGTCCACGGGACATATGAAGTGCTCCTACTTGAAAATAGAAACACATGGGCTGCCTTGTTGTCACATGTTTCTTGCAATACTATTTGAGGAATTGAAAATGATCCCTCCAAACTGCATCATGAAAAGGTGGACTTGGCAGGCAAAGGAAGGGGTAATAAGTAATGAGGCGGCTCAAACAACTAGCACGCACCTCACAGAGATGTTCAGATATTCTACACTGGTTTCAGCCACTAATGATGTATGTAGGCATGCATGCAAGACGGCTGACGGATTCACAAATGCATTGGAACTATTCCAGAACGAGTCAATTCGAGCTAAAGAGCTGCAATTGAAGAGGCATAGAGGTAAGGGCTGTGCAGCTGTCCAGGGAAGTAATGAAACTATGGGTGAAAGGGATTGGGTTAAGGACCCCGAAGTGATTGCATCACGGGACCTGCGTTGAGGGAAACCGAGGCAGACAGTAGTATCAGTGAGGTATTATTGGATCATCTCATGTATAATGTACTTCGGCACACATTCGAACTGTGTATACATAAATAGGCATGCATAACATATGTTACTTGCTATGGAATTGAAAAGGGTGGGTGTGGAGTTTAGTTCCATTTGTTTTGTTACTAATGCAGGGGAAGAGGAAGTGGGTCAAACACGTTATTAAAGTGCAGACAACGATGTTCATCATGCGAATAGTAGTTGCACTGCTCAATCTCGACAAAGCAATACGGGGACGACATCAGGTGGTCGAATCAGTGTGCCTAAAAAACAAGAGCAGCAGGGACCAATGGAGCCCATTGTTAGGCGTCAAGTTGGAATGGATATTATCTGCAATATATCGACTATGGTCTGAATATATCTCTCGCTACCTATCTTGCTAAGTTTTTCGTACACAAAACCCATGTTCACGCCCTCCTAAGTAATACGTACATCTTCTCGTCGAATGCTAATATAGTTCGCAAGATGCTGGCTTATTTTGTTAATCTTTGAAGTAAACTACTGCAATGAACATAACATCACGAAAATTGGTGTTACGCATAATTTGTAGATATTTGTGGCACTAAATCACAGCGGTAAGGTATTTGAAGGATAGACATTGTGTCCTTCAAATATTAGCCTAAAACAAATATGCCCCAATGTGAGTGCATGTGCTTATATGGCCCCTGCAACTGGTTGCAAAATATGAATGTGGCAGGAACAAATGGCATAGGGTAAGAGAAAAAAAAGGAATGGGTAATTGCTATAGTTACGTGTATAATGAGTTATTCGTGTCGCATGTCAAGGCGTTTTTGAACTGACCACCATTATTTGAATTCGATTAGGGTGGACCGGACAGTGTGGATGGCTTTTTCGGATACATGCTGAATTCACCACGCCTTCCTCGTATCAGGTATTCATCAACATTATTAGGTTTTTTGCTTTTGGCGCATGCAGTGGACAACAAAAGCAATCTGTAATTGTGTTCAATACGAGGTAATTTACATCTGAAGTGGCCATGTTAGGCAGGTTGATCAACCACCAGCTGTACTTGTTGATACCTTTGTAGCAGCATCAACCGACATTGCCGATTGGTGAAGCATAGACTGTGGGTAGAGTGAATTAGCACTTGCTTTTGTGTGATCCTGCATAGTAAACTACTTTTTTGCGGTGGAAAAATAGGTCGCTTGTTGTGTAATGAGGTCCGAACTCGATTGTACTTGTGTACTACTATTTCTGCTGGGTCATATGTAACGTTCAAAGTGGAACTATATTGTTCCTACATTTGCAATTGGTTGCTAAGAATTCATGTGGTTTGTACTTTGGCTTCATCAAATTATTGTTGAACGGGATACATGTTCAAGTGTCACATTCATGTGCGACCTAAAGATTTTTCAGTTTGATTTGTTTTGACAACTCAGTCACTATACAATTGCCATCTGCATTCACACCGCAATTGGTTGCATATAAGCGAAACAAGTGACTACTGGTTTGCTTACAAGGGCCTGTGTTGCCCAAGTTTAACTGACAAGGGGTAATTAACGAATTTTGAGGGAGGGGTGGTGGAACCACCAATGGGAAGTAAACTGCAGTGACGCAAACAGAGACACGCCTAAACTCGGTTGCAATTGCCAAGTTCTGCACCTGGTCTTCCCAATTTGGTATGTGTTGACAATACGTTCAACGAGTTGTGCAGGTACGGATTGAACCCATAAGATTGGGTTTTATGTGTATTTGTCCATGGGAAGAAATTGTACACCACACAAACTAACTTACTGACTTCATATTTGAAATAAACCTGAGTTCAGAAACACAATAGTCGTGGCCCACAAATGTAGTTTGGCAATTGGACTATAACCGTAAAAGTGCCACTCCACCTTAATAAGGCAAGACAGATGTTTAGGTTATTTCGACAGATTTGAGGAATGGAATATTTACAAAGCAGGGGAAAAGCACCGAAATTGAACCCAATAGTCAATTGCCCAAACCTTTCGTTGGGCCTGTGCTACCAACAAACAAAAAAGTATCTGCTGCTAACTTTTGACCATTTTCAACTTTACCGTGTCTACTTCTCACTAGACAAAAAGTTACGAAAGTAAGAAGGCATAGTAAAATAGTTTCACCTACACGATTAATACATGTCTTTATTGTGCTTAAGCCGGACAACTGTGCTCGCTGTAAATTCCCCTCATTTATGGTGTTTAGCATTGATAATTGTATGCATTTCAACAGCATCAGCAAAAGTATATATACCGATTATGGTAAGCATATGCACATAGGTGAAAATATACAAGTAAGTATTCAAAAAAGTTGAAATACTTACATGCTTCGACGTCGTCAAGATAGCAATGACTGGTGCACAACCAGACGACCGCTGCAACCAAAATTCCGCTGTTGTGTGTCCGGTTTTAAGGATGAAGTCAAGCACGGTGTAAATGGACTGCACAGTCTTGCTCACACAGCCTTGCCCAACTTAGGTCTATGCTTTTTTTTCAACTAACTGGTCCCCTACCACACGTTAGGGACAGGTGTGGGACCGTGCCAGTTGTGATGGCTTTTCCCGCCATTTCCATAGCTTCATTTTCCCTCCATTTATTGTAAAGGTTTCCCTCTTTTCCCTTGCTCTGTGTTTTTCCTTTGTACCAATTATTTTGTGACCCCACTTCTTGCCAATGGCGTCTGAGGTAAGCTTCAACTTTGGCATTGCATAATTGAACTCCGGCTTGCACCATGGACCCGATGACAAAATGTAACTAAATTTAATTTATATTTAGTTATAGATTACATATGCATGTTATTTTTGTTTAGTGGTTGAATCTTATATTCGTGAACTATCTGCAGACGAAAAAAAAATTCCAGACTATACTAATTTTGTTATACTAACTATGTTATTCTTATTATTGTATTAATTGTTACACTATTTCTCTCATTTTATTAGGTCTACATTAATATAAGTTTAATTCTTATTATATCTTGTGTCCCAAAAAATACATATATTAAAACTTCATCGTCTTATTATATTCATAGGTTTTAAATTATAGAAATTATATAGATAAGTGATATTCCATACATAAGTAGGAACATATGTTGTTATTATTATCCAAACTTTTAAATTTTTCAAAAATTATTCAAATGTATAATACAACAAAATTTTATTATTTTATAGGGTTTTGTCAAAGGTCAAAATATTTTAAAATAAATTGACCCAAAATTTTTTTAAATTATACATACGATCAAGTATGTATACAAGTATATTAAGAGTACTTACTAAGTAAGGTACTCAGTTTTAATCATTAATAAAATATTTTATTGTTATTTCAAATAACAATAAAAGATGGGCTTGGTATAAGTTTTTTAAGCAAAATAGAATATTTGTGCCATAAATTAGCATGTTTTGGTCATTAATCAAATTTACTATGTTATAAATAAAAATCACTATTTATGTATAAAAAACATACTATTACTTGAAATAAACTTACTCCTTCAAAAGTATATTTGGGATATAAAATAGTAATTTATCTCTTTAAAAAGTATGTTTCATATTACTTTCAATTTACCTTTTGGATTGCAAAAGTTACTAATTTATTACGTTAACTTACTATTTTAGATGAGAAACTTACTTCGTTATTTTTACCCATTATCCTATTCAAGTGGATAAGTCCAATAGGTAATCAAATGGTTGCTAAAATTATTATAACCTATTATATCATGTCTAAAACTGTTTTTTTACCATAACGATAGTTACTACACCATTTTCCCGGATGCTTAAGTTGAACACTTGGGTACTAAATTTATATGTATATAAATATAATGACGGCTTGAATCCTTTTGTGTTTCGAGTTGCTACGGAACTACAACTTTGCTCCACTTTTCCTTCTTCCAAATTATTATCCCCCACACGTGTGAGATTTACATTTATTATTTGTTAAAATTTTGGTACCTTCTTTAAGCACATTTTTTGTCGAAGGCATTTGCAGCATTTTTCCATTGGTAATGGGTACATTTGCAAATGAATAAATGCCTCTGGTTCTAACTTGCAATTACCCTTCCTGACCCAACCTACAACATCGTATGGAAGTCCGTGTGGTTTTTTGGTTGCATCCGCAGACGGTGCATGCATCTTTCCTCTCCACGCGTTCTGCCACAACTTAACGTCTCCATTTGGACTCCATTCAACTCTAACACGTGTCGATCTCTGCAGCCCTTCCTACCATAGGCACGGTCAAAGCGTTCCTACCATAAAGGTTTGCACTTCTCAACCATAGATTTGTACTCCAATAATTTCTTCACCCTGTATATACATGCTCAAATGGTTCAAACATTTTAGCCATCTTTACATCAACTTTGTGTTTCTTTATGATGCTTTTGGTATTCTGTTTCCCTAAACTCATTGGCTCACAGTAGTGGCAGAACTAGGACCTTGAGGCCCGCGGGGTAGGTTTGGAGGAGGCAAAGTTTGTGAAGTTTTTTGTTAAAAAATTGTCAATTACATAAAAAAAAATCTACCATGCAATATTTATTGAATTTTAATATAAAATAATGAAACAATTACAACATAAATAATAAAATTCATAATTGTCCTCGATAAGTACTCATGCTTCGGAAACGTTGAATTATTGCTTCATTGACAATTCTATAAAAAATATCTCTCTCAATGTATGTCATCAAGCAGTCATTCATTCATCCAATGATCTTCCATTTGATTGCGTAGCCTATTCTTCACAATCTTCATAGTAGAAAATGTTCTTTTTACAATAGCAATAGTAGTAGTTTCAGAGAATTGTTGTTTTAATAGAGATGTTTTAGGAGATTTTCTTCTTTCGGACATGGAGATATGTTAGAAGATGTTCTAATAAATTGCAACTTGTGTGTTTCTTAACATTTTAACTAAAGTCAATTTCCTAAAAGTTTTAAAAATTTGAAATATGTTCCTATAAGTTTAAAGTGAATTTAATTATTTTAATTCTTTCCAAT